TACATCGAAACTCATTGCCCATGGATAAAGAAAAACTGTTTCAACATCAAAAAACAACAAAAACGAGAGCAAACATATAATAACGGATTCGAAATTGTAACCAGGAATCGCCTATTGGTTCTATTCCCGATTCATAACTAGAAAGTTTCTCTGGTCTTTTGCTAATCGGGGCTAAAATTCCAGAAATTAGAAATGCCAAAATAGGAATAAAGCTTGATATTATTAGAATGCCCAAAAAATATCATATTCGTAAAGCAGAAACATAAATGACTCCTATGAATGTGGAAAATATACTGGGTTAGTATTAATTATTAGTCGATTTGAATGAAAATTGGAGAATGATTATTCTATTAATGATTATTATAGTAATGAATATTTATAGAATAATAAATATGAAATATATTCTAAATAGAAATGCTTTTTCTAAAATAAATAAAAAAAAATTAAATTATTTCCAAAAAAAATGAGACTAGTATTCGAATATACTAATATTAGTATTATTTTATCAAATATTAATATATTCTTAATAGAAATTTAAGAATTCTTTCTATTCTATTACTAATACTACTAGTAATATTTAGTAATAGTATTAGTAATGAGAGATATTGGATACTAAATATTATTAGTATCCGTAGAAATATTAGGGCTATACGGACTCGAACCGTAGACCTTCTCGGTAAAACAGATCAAACTGATTATTATCGAAATGATTTGAATTGTTTTAAAAACCCAACGTGCATTTTTTTCTTGCATTGGGCTTTTTCATTAACTGATAGAAATAACAGTTAGTCCACTATCTTTTTTCTTGACAGAAAGAATAAAGATATGATTTCCTTGTGCTCTGATTTTTGATTTGGATTACAATCTAAGAGCACTACCAAAGTGTTTCAAAGAAGGGTTATCCTGACATAGGTCTGCTTCTAGCCTAGATCAACTTAAGTTAAATGGATTCTCTATCTACCCACTAAAATGAAAATATCAAATAGGAAATGAAACTTCATACACCTTAAAGTTCATAAGATAGGAACAAAGGATAATTTTATTTGAGGTTCCTATACCCATTATGCTTAGCATTGAAGAGGAGTGAGTATTGACCTTATCAATATCTCAAATCAATAATGGATTCTATTTTACGTCTAAATCCTTTGTCAGGCTTTTGTTCTCTTGTTCCTTAAAATGGAGTAAGACATGGATTTATTAATAATAAGATAAACTCTTTTTGATTACAAGACGGACTCCTCTGAAAAAAAAACATTGGCGCGCGTGTAAACGAGGTGCTCTACCTAACTGAGCTATAGCCCTTGTGCTTTTAATACATATTTTATCATATTATGTAGATAATTTCTTGTCAAGATGAATATTACATGATCCAATCCCTTTGATATTGGCGTTGGTATTGCTTATAAGTAATATTCGATTTATAATCTATTGATCTGATCGATAGAGACTCTTTTTTTTTTTTTCTATTTGGGGTGATAATGACCTACTTAACTCAGTGGTTAGAGTATTGCTTTCATACGGCGGAGTCATTGGTTCAAATCCAATATAGGTAAGGTATAGTTAGAACTTATTAGATACCAAGTCAATGGTATCTAATAAGTTGTTCTATTCACCTTTTTTTCTATCTTTTCTACTGTTTTATTGAATTTATTTATTTCTTTTTTTTAGAATTATTCGGACGGTACCAACTGTTACGAAATCATATTGATAGCCTCTACTCGTGTTCTAGCTCGTCTGAGAGCTAGATTTGCCTCAATTGTTGTCTCTTGCCTTCAGCCTTATTCAAATTAGCTTCTGCTATTCAAGAGTTGCTGTGCTTCTTGTGGATCAATGTCACTACCTCTTCCCGCATCATTTACTAAGACAGTGATCCATTATGCCTATTTAGCAAAACCGGCCCATGAGAGCCATCGTTAACCATTGGTCGTTAAGGGCGTATTCTCAAAATACCATATCTACAGCTGTGGCAATAGGCGCATGATTTGGTAATACTCCAATTTGTCCGCTATTCGTAGATAAAATGATTTCCTTCACTTCTGAATCCCAAACAATTCGATTGGGGGTCAGTACACAAAGATTTAAAGTCATTTCTTCAATTTGCTCTCCATTTCTAAATTCACAGCCTTCGCAGTAGCTTCATCGATATTACCCACTAAATAAAAGGCTTGTTCAGGAAGACCATCTAATTCTCCAGAAAGAATCAATTTAAACCCTCTAATTGTTTCTGCTAGACCAACATACTTCCCCGGCGAACCGGTAAATACTTCTGCTACGAAAAAGGGCTGTGATAAGAAACGTTCAATTTTTCGTGCTCTTGCTACGGTTAAACGATCCTCCTCGGATAATTCATCCAACCCAAGGATAGCTATAATGTCCTGAAGTTCTTTGTAACGTTGTAAAGTTTGTTTAACTCTTTGTGCAGTTTCATAATGTTCTTCACCAACGATCCGAGGTTGGAGCATAGTTGACGTTGAATCTAAAGGATCCACTGCTGGATAGA